TGTTGACTTTCAAACTCTTTTCTTACATAATTAACATACTTTTTTGCTTTTAACTCATAATTTGTTTAAATATTTTTATTTCAATATAATTTCTTAAAAGCTATTATAATAATTTTCTGATTAAACATTCTTTTGTTCTACATTTTCCAACATGTTATAATAGATTTTTTCTCTTATAAACAACACATTTTCTGAAAAACTGACATTGTGACTCGCTTGGGATGCAAACCTTCAAAGATAGTGAATGCTGCTTTAAAAAAGTTTCTTCAGCTTAGTACGGCCTACTTTAGGGCCTAAACTACATCTTAATGAAAAATTTCTAGATGTAGGATAATGATACGTATCAGTTAAATTAAATTAATTAAAACATATTTTGAAAACGTTTTATCACTGAAAATTTGCTTTTAATTACCAAATGTATTGTCATAAAACTAATTTTAACAGGTGAAAAAATACCATAAGCCTTCTTTACAGAATACAGAAGACATACTGAGCAAAGAATTAAAATAAATATAATTAAAAATTTTCAAATGTAGATATAATTGATGTGAACATTAACATGCATATATAAATTCATAAAATATAGAAACACAAATATTATTTTTCTCCACAGGCGACGATACGTACAACTCCATTTCTTGCTTTTTGTGTCGACGATCTGGAACCCTTCTATAACGTATACCTACTACCTTACTTACACGCGTAATACTACTCTTGGATTTACAAAATTACACGCATAACACTACTAAAAAGCAATGTGTTCATTGCGTAGAAAGATAAACATTCTTAACCAAATCACTGTAAATTACCTTTTCTATTACAACACTATTGTGAAATACTTCAATAAGACTCTCGCAGCACCAACCGGCGCCGTGGCTTAGTTGGTTAAAGCGCCTGTCTAGTAAACAGGAGATCGAGGGTTCGAATCCCTCCGGTGCCTGGGGCTTCCGCACCCGTTTTTGTTTTCTGTTGCAAAAATATTTTAAAATATATGTCTTGGTCGTATGAAAATGTATTCCTATTTTAGGTCAAACCGCCTCTGAAACAACAATTTAGTTATTTTTAATTTAAATCATCACTTTAATTTTTTTCATGTTATACGATACATAAATCATAAGTGCAATAATATATTAAATGTTAGAGCCGTTTTAATAAGGACGAGGTGGCCGAGTGGTTAAGGCGTTGGACTGCTAATCCAATGTGCTCTGCACGCGTGGGTTCGAATCCCATCCTCGTCGTTAGCTTTTTGTTACCCCATTGAGAAGAATGAACTCTCTCGAAGATGATATTAACTACCTTCATTCAAAACAAATATTTTTGCTGCGTGTAGCCTAGAAAAATCTTTCTTTATTGTGTTTCTTATCGTTTAAATTCCCCAAGTAAACGTGGAGAGTCATTCACTTTTGGCTCTACATTTAATAAACAAAACAAATGAATGTTCTGGAAAATGTCGCAAATACAATTTATAGCAACTGTCAGATACATTTCACTCTCTTTGAGTGCATTAAAACCAGAATAATCCATGAATCTGAATAATAGAAAAAAAAACAATATTTTGCTTTACTCCCAATACATTGTAAAGAAGTGCACTCGCACCCCAGTCGCCTCCGTGGCGCAATCGGCTAGCGCGTTCGGCTGTTAACCGAAAGGTTGGTGGTTCGAGCCCACCCGGGGGCGAGATCTTTTGGAACTGTTGGCTACATCATCTAAAGATTTCAGGGACAGTATTTCCTCCAAAATATTTCGGCGTACACGTCGAATTCTGGAAATCCAATTTCAACAGATACCATTTGGAACTAATCTAACGAATCTTGTTTAATACATTTTCAATCATTATTTTCTACCTGATAAACATAGACAAGCGACGTACCGTCGAGCAGGTTCTCCCCTGTAAAGGTCTCAAAAATTGATAATGTTAGATATAAACATCAGAAGTATTACAGAATAATCATCATCATCAGAAGTATTATTTTTCAGTCGCATTAGAAGTACATGTTACAGTATGCCACTTTGAAAAATTAATTGAAAACTGCTGACGTACTTACTAAAACTGCTAATTATTTCGCAAATTGTTGTAATAGATTGTATGTCGTAACAGATCAGAACTTTCAATACCAATTTGAGTTGAGTGTTGCAGAGTACATTAACGGCAATTGACACAAAAAGTTGCTTTTTAATAATAATAATAATAATAATAATAATAATAATAATAATAATAATAATAATAATAATAATTTGCAGTATTGCAAAATAATATTAATCGGTGACAACTGTCGTTCGCGTGACCTCTTGAAACAAAGCTACTTCGGCCAGATACTTCTACAGTGGATCAACAATAATCCGGATTAATAGGGACTGAATCCCTTCCGGTTTATAAAATTGTCCAGATTTTTGAAATTAATCAATAAAAGAGGCAGTATACGTACAGATATAAGTTTTGAATGGGTCCGTTGTTCTCGTAAATTCTTGAGAAAATCGAATTGAGATAGACATATGATACATGACTTTAATCACAGATGGTACCGGCAAAACTTTCCCGATACTCGAGTTGGACAGAGGCGAATTTTTCGAATAAGTACAGGAGGCATGTGCCTACAGAGGCACCATTTTAGGGGCGCCAAAAATTTAGGACTAAACGTGTCTGAAAATTTCTAGAAATTATAATATGAATAAATTATTTAAAATATAAATTTTAGAAGTTATACAGATATTTTTAATTTGCAGTTTTGATAATATTTTGGTCAGTGGTTATTTCGTTCATATTTTCTAGAGTTAAATGTAGACATTACGTAATTTTAAGAATTAAATGTAGGATAGCGGTTGAAATGAATGTGACAATGAACAATTAATTCAGTTATTTCTATACATAAAAATATATGATTTAAAAATTAATTGATTTCGTGTAGAAAAAATTGTACATGCATAAATCATTAATTAAATCATATTTAATTTTAATCATAAATAGTATATGTGACTAATTTTGAAACATTTATTTTACTTGTTATTATATAAAACTTATATCCTGGGTATAAAATTATATATAACTTATATCCTTATTTTAAAAAAATGCGACTTTTTTTCGTGTTCCTACAGGCGATAAAGTTGTTAATCCGCCTCTGAAGGTGGTCGCTTGATAGGGTGTGAGGTTACTGGTAGCGTAAATAAAGTCTAATTGTAACAATTGCTATGAAATTAAATATGTTCTCTTTAACATCTTAAATATCTATAAATAAAAAAAAAATACTGTTTAAAACAGGTATTTAGAATAAGTTGCCTCACCTCGACCAATGCCAACACAATGCCCACACACCTGGGTTTGTCATTCATTATTTCCGTTCCTAGCACAGCAGGGACACGGCAGGCAGGTTCAATTGACAAAGGAGGTCAGAGAACGGCCAGAATGACCTTTTGCATGGGATTCGCTCAAGCGTGCTCCAACACTCCTTAGGGGCCGCCCATAAATTAAAAATTAACTACGCAAATTTGAAGAATTTTGAATACTCTCTCCCCCTCTGTAAGGCCGTTACGGGTGTAACATTAACGCGCGCTTGAACCCCCCTAAATAATTATGTAACTATTGCGACTATGCCCCCTTTTTGTAAATGCAAGAATTAAATTATAGCACAGTAAAAATAATATTTATTCATTTCACTTGTGTTGCGTATTAAAATTAATAAATAATTAGAAATTAGTTGGCGATGGAACAAGTTGTTAGTGAAGGAAGGACGATAATTATAAAAACTATTATTATTGTTATTATTATTATTATTATTATTATTATTATTATTGTTATTATTATTGTTATCATTATTACAAGCCGTGCGCACTGTAGTGGTTGGCGCACGAGCGAGGGTCTACTGCTCAAATTTAAATGGATTTTAGAATATACTACATATCAGCTTTGAATATTTTCTTCGTAATTTTTACAAATTTACCAAAAAATTGATGGAAAAATATTTCCTTTCATTGCAACAATTTACATCTAATAACTTTAATTTATTCATGATTTTAAAACAAATTAATTAGTTAATATTTTAAAGTTTTAGAACAATACTCAAAGAAAGGAATTATTTCAGCAAATATTAAAAAAAAAATCAACGGTACGTAACATTAAACTAATAACCCCCTACCCCTCTGTAATACAGCGTAAGGTTTCCTCAACCCCCCCTCCCTCCTCTTTAGCGCTAATGAAGTTTTATAGAAAAGGCTTGAATAAGACTCGTTTCTAGTCCTTTTGGGAGTATCTACACCTAAGTAGATGCGTTAGAATGATATTTTGAAATATGTCTTCCAAACTTGAATGCTGAAATTAACTATTAGACTTTCTTGCATTTACTAACGTAAGAAGAAAAAGTATTGTAATCGTGCGATGGAAAACGGGGAAATTTCCACACAAACTCTTATTCCGAGACCTTGGTAAGGAAAAAGTGGATAAATACAGTTGCTAAATACAGAACAAAAATTCCTCTAACACGTGATGTGACACAGAATCCATATTTTGTGCGCCCTTCATGCCGAAAAATTGATTGACAACAAAACGTCTGTCTATCCGTCCGTCTATGCATAACGCTAGCGCATAAACCATTCAATCGTTTTTCTAAAATATTGATATTCCACAATCGTTCTCGCTGATGTCACGGCCCCTAAAATTTGAAACGTATATTTTAATTATAACAATTAATACAATTTCAAAATTAATAAAAATATGGCTAAAATTTTTTGATTAAATTTTGTTGTTAAATATTGCTAGAGAATGGTGCAGGTCTCATTTTCATTGAAATCCCCGATTCATCGAAAATTCACTTACTAAGCAGAATACTGCTTGTACTTTCATATATTAATTATGTGATTGTATAATATACAATGACTAAATGAACAAGATATTTCAAAAGAAGTTGAATCAATTAAACTTGTCGAAACAACTGTGTGTATTTGATAAAAACGAAAAAGGGGAAAAAACCAGGTCCCACCGAGATTTGAACTCGGATCGCTGGATTCAGAGTCCAGAGTGCTAACCATTACACCATGGGACCCACATGTTGTTGGGAGGAGAAGTATTTAGATTATAAACACCGTATTTTACGAGTATATCTTTAATTTATTGTATAAAAGTAATGAATGTTAGAGTTCATTTGTTTCCTTGATGAACCTGAAACTAATTCGACGGGGCAGTATTTTATAACCAACGTCTTAGCGTTCTCTTCAAGCGTGTTTTTGCGGGCTGACAATGTGCTTATGCCGTGTCGGAGATCGGTTAAATTTCAGTTCTCAATCACTACCATACGGTGTATGTGGCTACGTGTGCGGTTAGGTGGTTTCATTTTGAACTGTATTTCCTGAAAAAAATAGTGTTCTACTTATGGTGCATTCGTGTAGGTGATATTTTTAGGGAAAGTGATTTTGCAGGGACAAAATGTCGGGGTCAATAGAAATCCCTTTGAGGGATAGCGACGAGGTAAGGAACCCAGAATTTAACTCGCATTACAGTGAGAATAAAATCAAGATTTTATAATTTAATGTTTTTTATCGTCTCATATGTTGATTTCAATTTTACTTAAATATATTACTTATCTTTACTTTCTGGTTGTAAACCATATTTGGTAACAATTTTTTATAGAAGTAGTACATTTTTGTGTTTTGTGTCACCAATTTTTGGGCTATGCTCTTTATAGGTTATAGAGTTAGACCTCTCCCAACTACCTGAAGGTGAAGAAGTGCTGGGTATCTTACGGCAAGAACATGCAACCCTTAACTACTGGGTTACTCTGGCTGTGAGTACTTTGAATTTTATTACATTCTAATTTTTGAAGTATTCCACAGAGCACTTACACTGGGATCTATAATTACACATACATTGATTTTTCTTTAATTGATGATCTGTAAATTCGCTTTGCAGTTGGAGTATTACAAGCAAGGAAAAGTGGAAGACTTCATTAGAATATTGGAGGCATCACGTACTGATGCAAATGTGGACTACAGGGACTTTGAAAAAGATCAAATGCGTGCCCTGGATATGTTGGCTGCTCATTATGTTCAAGAGGCTAACAGGGAAAAGAAAAAGGATAAAAAGCGAGAACTATTTACCAAAGCCACATTATTATATACAACAGCTGATAAAATTATCATGTATGACCAGGTAGGAAAAGATTTTGGAAGATAGAAGTTACATTGCATTGCATAATTTTGGGAGTTGTATACAATTGATTAATTTTTCAGAACCATTTACTTGGAAGGGCATATTTTTGCTTGTTGGAAGGAGATAAGATGGAACAAGCTGATGCGCAGTTCAATTTTGTTTTGAATCAATCTCCGAATAATATTCCATCTTTATTGGGAAAAGCATGTATAGCTTTCAATAAGAAAGATTATAGAGGTGCGCTTGCTTTTTACAAAAAGGCACTTAGAACTAATCCCAATTGCCCAGCAGCTGTGCGATTAGGAATGGGTCACTGTTTTATGAAACTGGGAAACCAAGATAAAGCGAGGTGCTACTCTTGTTCTAATTGTCTTCATTAATATGCTTCCTAGTAAAGCGTCTAATAATTCATTAAAAATCTTGATTCTCTCTTATGTAGATTGGCATTTGAAAGAGCATTGCAGCTCGATAATCAATGTGTGGGAGCTCTTGTTGGATTGGCTATTTTAAAACTGAATCAACAACAACCTGAAAGTATTCGAACTGGTGTGCAGATGTTGTCAAAAGCCTACACAATCGATTCAACAAATCCTATGGTCTTGAATCATCTAGCGAATCATTTTTTCTTTAAGAAGGTAAACTGATAATTATTGTGTCTTTACTGAAAGATATATCATTATGTTTCTTTACTCTGTTTGGTTTCTTCTGTGTTTAGGATTACAGTAAAGTCCAGCATTTGGCTATGCATGCATTTCATAATACTGAGAATGATGCAATGCGAGCTGAAAGCTGTTACCAGTTGGCTCGTGCGTTTCATGTGCAGGTATAGTCAGCAATTCTTATGTAGATGCTCACAGTTGAGATATGGAGTTTTTGGATTTAAAATAGTGTTTTATCTTTATATTGATATTCTCTCTGAAAAAGAGTTTTCCCTACAAATGCTCAGCAGATAAATTAACATTCAATACTTCTTGCTTTTTTCCTTGAATAAATTGTCAATGTCTCTTTTCTTTATCTTGGACATAAGCGAAGGAGTGATACTTCAGCTCTATTGACAATTGATGTATTTAGAATAAAGTGCTAACAATTTTCTGAATTTTGATGTTAATTTTTTTTAAATAAATTTATTTTCTTATTAATATCATAAAAAATGAATTTTAGGGTTTTGTCAGTGGAATAAAAGTTTTAGGAAAGTTAATAAGTTTATTCAGCTGATGTAAAATTGGTATTTCTAGTTTTGACTTTGCAGAAAAGCAAAGACATTAAGGTGTAATGTTCTACTTCTTTTTTAATGTGATGATAATGTTTTTTGTGCTGTCTTTTCTTTCTAAGGGTGATTATGGCCAGGCATTTCAATATTATTATCAAGCTACTCAGTATGCTCCACCAAATTTTGTTCTACCTCATTTTGGCATGGGCCAAATGTACATTTATCGAGAAGATACAGAAAATGTAAGTTGATTTAATCAGTGGATTGATGAATGTGGTTGAGATGCAAGATATACTTAACGTTTGTTTTTACAGGCAGCACAGTGTTTTGAGAAAGTACTGAAGGCTCAGCCTGGTAATTATGAAACTATGAAAATTCTGGGTTCTTTGTATGCAAATTCATCAAGTCAGTCAAAAAGAGACATAGCAAAAAATCACCTTCGGAAAGTAACAGAGCAATTCCCTGAAGATGTAGAAGCATGGATTGAATTGGCTCAGATCTTAGAACAGTCTGATTTGCAAGGTGCTTTAAATGCTTATGGAATTGCTACCAAGATACTGAGAGATAAAGTACAAGCAGATATTCCTCCTGAAATATTGAATAATGTTGGAGCATTGCATTACAGGTATCAAAGCTTTGAAACTAATTGCACTCATTTCTTCACATATTTACTATTGTCCTTTTGTCTAAATATTTAAATTTTATCTGGTCCCCCTCCATGCCTGGTGAATCTTTTCTTCTCTTTCCCATCTCTCTTTCTCCTTCCCACCCCTAACTATCTCTCTTTTACTTTGTCCCTACCCATTCTCAATGACACAAGTGTTCATGTGAAGTCTTCTTTGCATGTTACTTCTGCTTTGCATACCTTCATGATGAATTTTTCCTAAATGATGAGTATTAAATATTACCTAACTAAAAAGGGTCAGAAGAAATTGCTGGAGCTTAATTAAACAATGAAAAAAAAGAAAGATTCCCAAAGGCTGATCAAAAATTTAATACATTAAAACTATGATATAAGGAGACCAAAAATGAAATTGGAGCAAGTAGGAAAACCTGGAAGATTAATAATATTTCTTTTGGCTGTCTGTTTGTTCAGGAACAGAAGTTGACCTTTTGATTCTATAGAACATTTCAATGATGTTGATAATTGTCTGGCTAAATTATTAAGGCCTTTTTAATTTCTTGAAAAAATCTTTATTCGTGCACTATATACTTATAAAAACTGGGGAAGAAAAATAACTTTTAAAGACATCCTAACAAAAAGAACAAAGTGTTTCTGTCTGTTTATGGTCAAGAGAATAACAGTATATTCTGTTCTTACAAATTATTACTGAATGCTAAGTTTTAAATGCAATAAAGTAAATGTATTTGTTGTTATAAGAACTAAGACTAAATAGTTTCCAGTTTGGCTTTCAGGAAGTCGTGTCCTTAAAGGCTACAGCAAACCACAGTTCGAGAATCCATTGTGCAGAGCAACTATGCTTAGGTTGACACAGTTCCACCCACGAGTATCAATCATTGGAATTATTGAAAAGATTAGTTGTTTTCCTTTATACCAACTTCATGATGTCAATGAAGTCAAAACAGTTAAATACTTCAAGGAATACATATACACATACAACTTCAAAGTTTTCTGTTTTAATAACTTAGGAGTTAGTTGAACTGTTACTGTAAATTCTGAAACCTGCAGTCTTGCTCATTCTGAAAAGTTAATTACAAATTTTGAAGAAGTTCTTGGAATCAATGAGAACATTTCTTATGTGTAATAAAGGAAGAAATAGAATCATGAATGAGGTTCAAATTTATTTGTAAGCTTTATTCAATTTTTCTGTCAAGCATGTAATGTCTTAAGTTTGTGTCATGAGTAAGGCTCGAAAGTTTATGAAAAATTATATGGTTAATTATAAGCTTTATTATATGCTAATTATCAAATGTCTACAAAACACAATCAAATTAATAGAAATTCAGAGATTTTATATAATATACAGGGTCTTTAACTGAACTCGCAACCCATATCTGGAAACTCCACTTCCTGTTTTGGTAATTTGGCAACGCATGGAATACCTTTGGCATCCCTTTCACTTTTAGAATATTACAGTTTTGTTTCTTAAGCATACTGAACAGAATCATCTATAGAAACGTTTTGTTTCTTACTCCTGTCTCTGGTCACCTCTCCTCACCCCACGCACTCTGTGCAGCGTGAAAAGCTTCTGATGTGTGAGCTGCGTACCTGCCCTCCTGAGCTCTTGGAAGGGAAAAACACAAAAACAGGAAAGTTGCTGCAGCTTATGACCTGATGGTCACCTCCTTTGCTGTCTCGATGTGCGATGCACGGCTGTCTTGAAAGGTGGCAAAAACACATGGTTGCCAAAACAAGAACAGGTGCTCTCAGGGATAGGTTGCTAGTTAAGCTAAAGACACTGTATGAATGCATATTTATTGCATTTTGTTTTAATGCATCATATTTCCATTTATTTTTCATTCAAGTTATTTCTCGTGGAATTTTGATTAATATGCATATTGTCTTCTCAAATCGAAAAAAATGTACTTTACAAATGTGAATGCGAATTCTATTCAAGAGAAATCATGGGAAAGTCTTTCATTGCAACAGTATTTACCTGCATTTCTTTTAGAAGATATCATGGCTCTGGTACCTGGAAATGATTTGTCCAATTATGAATGATGATATAATTTATCTTTGATCATGAATCTGTGGCATTAGAATTGATACTTCGATGATGATACAGACAAAATCATTATATTTTAATTCAAAAATTAGCACTGGAATACTAAGCAGAGACAAAATTAATTGTTAAAACGAAAAATTTTGTAATTGTTCATGAATTTATAAAACTTAATTGTTAGAGTGTATTTCATTAGTTCTGGTGCGTATTTTACAATTGTTGGAGCATATTTGCATGCATATTTCTTATTTTGAATAGCATTAACTTCCAAGCCTTGGTCATGAGTATATCATGTTTATAATATTGATTATACTTCACTTTTTCTAAAGGCTAAATAACTTGGAAGAAGCAAAAAGAAATTTAGAAGAATCCTTGAGTCGTTCGAAAGTTGAAGCTGAACATGATCCTCAGTATTACAATTCAATAGCTGTGACAACAACATATAATTTAGCTCGACTTAATGAATCTCTCTGTCAGTTTGATAGAGCAGAGAAATTGTACAAAGATATTTTGAAAGAGCATCCAAATTATGTAGACTGTAAGTACTTCTTTTTATGTTTAACCACCAAATTGGTTAGAAAATTGTATGGTTTATTATTAAGTGTACATGTATATATTTTTAAGTGTTCAACATGTTAATGTTCCCATGTTAATTATCATAAATTAAACAAAAGTACTGTTCTTCGGATATTTTTAAGTTTTGTTTCAATAATTAATGAAATCTTAGTGTGTGTTGTTGAATATGGTACTCTTTTGTAGGTATTATTTTTGGCAATGTCAGAATAATTTATCTTTCCCTAATACAAGTTTCATTAGAGCATGCTTAGTGACTTATAATGCCTGTAAAATAAAGGAAATGACAATTGTTCGAATTGTTGGTAATTAAAGATTTTTTCTCTCAAAAATTAAAGGTTATTTGCGACTTGGTTGTATGGCACGTGATGAAGGACAGATATATGAATCATCAGATTGGTTCAAAGAAGCTATGAGAATTAACAATGAACATCCTGATGCGTGGTCCCTGTTGGGCAACCTCCATTTAGCAAAAATGGAATGGGGGCCTGGCCAAAAGAAGTTTGAACGAATTCTAAAGGTATATGAAATTGGTTAAGAGCAGGGCTCAGATTCTAATTACCTAAAAATTCTTTGAAACCAACATATAAAATGACTTAAAAACAAGAGGAAAGTGGCCTATAAAATCACTTAAAAATAAACAAAAAAAGCCTCTTCTTTTTACTTAAAAATATGTGTGAAAATGTTTATGCATTCAACAAATTGTATAATTTTAAATAAAATTTATTTATATAAAATTATGTTTAATGTAAAGTCTTGATTTTTGGAGGAAATGTATTCCTTACTGCCGATAATCCAACAATCAGTTTTAAAAGGTTGAGGAAGTTACTAAAGATGCATGTAATTTGGCTCATTGCAGTAATGAATTTCATCATGAACTGATAAAAAAAAACAACTTTTTTTGTGTCATAAAATTCATGAACATTCACTAACAAAAAACATGAAAAGGAAACAAAATGTGTAAATATGACAAAATTAGGCTAAGGTCTAAAAAATTACCTAAAAATTGAAAAATCGCAAAAACATTACCCAATAACATACATTTTTATCACCTCTATGTCATGATAAACATTCATTTACAACTTAGCTACATCTAGAAGGCACCAATGAAATGATATGTCATCAAAATCTGGGCCTTGGAATGAGCTATGGGGGTAAAGTTCAAACATCTAGAAATACTTATGTTATGATTTAAACTGGTTTTGTGCAAATTGTTACAGAATCCAAGCACATCAAATGATGCTTACTCACAAATTGCATTAGGAAATGTCTGGCTCCAAACCCTTCACCAACCTACTCGTGATAAGGAACGAGAAAAGAGACACCAAGACAGAGCGTTAGCAATGTATAAACAAGTATTGCGCAATGATCCACGAAACATATGGGCAGCAAATGGAATTGGAGCAGTATTAGCCCATAAGGGTTGTGTAAATGAAGCAAGAGATATATTTGCTCAAGTGAGAGAGGCTACTGCAGATTTTTGTGATGTGTGGTTAAATATTGCACATATTTATGTTGAACAAAAACAATATGTAAGCGCCATACAGATGGTAAGTGATGTTTATAGACTTTGTCTGATTAATTTTCTGAAATGTTTCTGTAAAGTTTCTGCAAAATCAGCCAGTAATTTTTTGATTTATTTTGTAGTATGAAAACTGCTTGAGAAAATTTTACAAGTACCACCATGTCGAAGTCCTTCAGTACTTATCACGTGCTTATTTTAAGGCTGGGAAGCTTAAAGAAGCCAAAATGACTCTTCTAAAGGTCTGTTTTTTATTATTAATGTTGATATAATTTAATTTATCATGTTTTCTATCCTGTATGAATTAAGCGAATTGATGTAATACACCGAACCCTTTGTGAATTGACTTCCTGTGGGGACTCCTAATATTTTCAATCTCAAAAAGATGGGGAAACATTATTAAAATAAAACAATATAACTGACTCATTGAACAAAGGAGATCTGAAAAGTGAGACAAAATTTTGAATTTTGGAAACATTGAATAATTTTTGTTTATGACGCCTTTCATGAAAACCAATTTTACCATTTCAGGAAAGAAATCAAAATAACTATTAAATATGATAAAACTGGTTAATTTTTTCATTAATAGTTAAATTAAAAAAATATTTATAGTAAAAGAAATAATTGAATTGAGTTGCATAATTGAACCAACTCCATTCCTGTATTTTCACAAGTACATTATAATTTTTTTTTATTTTTATGTATATATTTGCTTCTTTGTTGTCACAAAGACTGTGCAAATGAAAGGATGACCTTCATGTGTTCACCAGACACGTGTGTTGTAAGCATTTGTTAAGTATGGAAAATACATCCTCTTGGAAAGTATGCCTGTCCAGCACAAAGATGATTGGTTCTATGTATAACGTGTGTAATAGAAAATGTTCATTACATTTAGTAAAGATAATAATTTAGGAAAGAGGTGAATTCTTATGTGGATGTACAAACAGGCCATGAACCTTACACAATTTTCCTTCCTCTTCCTTGATCTATCCTCACCCTTTATTTAATACACTTACTCTAACATGCACTACACCACCCCACATACTAGGAGACCAGTCAGGGAGCTTAGTACTTGTCCCAGCTGGTGGGTGATACGTGGTTGTGGGAAAACCCAGCTAGCTGACTGTAGGTCGGTGCTGGGTCTCGTCATCTAGTGGGGGATATTCACCACCAACTCCTGAGGAAGAGAAAATTCGTTCGCTTTTGGAACTAATGACCTTACTCATTGATGCACTCAAAGTCACTAATCAATTAATAAATTATATGAATGTACTGACCGGGCCAGCCACCATTAGAGAGTTCTAGTAAAGATGTAATGATACCTCTGTCCGGACTGCTCTTACTCCAAGCTACTTTCCCCTCCAAGCTAGTTAAGTTGGTGTTAAGACATCAGAGAGGTAATCTCAGTCTTTGACTCTTGGTCATTAATAATTATTTACAAATATAGGAATTTGCTGGGTGTGTTGGGTAGTGATGACAGAAACTAAAGCAACATAAACTGAAAACAAGAAAAATAAACAGAAAGATAAATTGCTAGCCATTGATAAAGTCCTGCTTCTTCCACGTCACATCAAGCTAGGTGTTATAAAACAGTTTATCAAAGCCGTAAATCCATCTGGAATATGGTTTCACAAGTCCTAGTTTTTTAGTTGAGAAAATAAAGGAAGGTGTGTTTGCCAGTCCCCTGATTATAGAATTTCCAAAAAATAAACATTTTGAACAATGCCTAGTATCAGAAGAGAAAAACAGATGGATATGTTTCAAGAATATGATCAATATTTTTGCAAGTGCTACAGTGATGTTTCTGGTAAACATGGTGAACGATTTTGTAAAGTCATAAAGATGATTCAAAAGCAGTTTGACGAGAAATGGATGCCTTGAATTGTTCAGGATTATTGCTGGGACATTATTCAATACGCGAAAAAAGCATAAAAGACAAAAATAAGCCTTTTAAATTTTCAAGAGAAAGATAATTTTGCTAATATATGTCTGAAAATAAGTTTTTTATGCAATGTATTACATTCCATAGGTTTTTATTTGTTTTGTTTTATTTTGACTAATGTTTAAAAATTAGGATAGTAATTGTTACATTTTTTGCCTATGAAGAGGCACTGACAGTGATAGTAACATTGATTCAACATAATTCCTGTATGTATAGTATAATTTAAATTTGCTGTATATACGTTAAGTGATGACTTGATTGAATTGCCAACTTTTTTATGCTTTCACTCAATCCATTACTTAGTTTCTTTTAGGGTTGGAAAAAAGTGTATAAAAAATGTCTTGGGTATTTGTGGGTTTTATTGCAAGTATTATTTTTTTCAAATATTTGTTCAACTTCACAAACTAAAATTCATTCATTACTGCCTTTCTTTTTTTCGAAATAAAATTAGCCACATTCCGAATACGGCGACACACTTTCTGAGTTTCAATAAGTAACTCTTTGAGTCATAATGAGGTTTTGTGATCAGGACTGAATTATGAGCCACCTTGACCTAACTTCTCTTGAAAAAAATTCTTTTATATAATAATTACTATAAAAAAGTAACTCGAAAAGGCAAAACAAAAACAGGTGTTTATGGGGTTTGTGGGATACATAAACCCGTTTTAAATACTATTTCTTTGGTGTGCGAGTTGTTTTACATGGAAAACTATATCAGAATTAATGGTCTGATAGTATTTAATCACAAAATGTAATAGATGAGCCTAAAAGTAAATGTATATATTTATATGATTTCAGGCACGCCGTGTTGCTCCTCAGGATACAGTTCTCTTGTACAACATAGCTTTAGTATTGCAACGTCTAGCCACACACATTCTCAAGGATGAAAAATCCACATTAGAGACTGTGTTACAAGCTGTGCATGAATTGGGTCTGTCACACAAGTAAGTATTCGTTTTGTATTAGAATGCTAAAACTAAATTAGTTTGTGGTTTAAATTGTTTTGTGGTATCTATGAAATTATACTTTTATGTTGTATGGAAATTTGAAATGGATATTAGCAATGGAGATTGTATTATACTAATATTAATGAACCAAAAATGACTGAAAATTTTGGTTGAGTAGAGACTTTGCAGCCAAAGATCAGTTTTTGAAAGTTTGGAAATGTTGCCTTGAATTAGATAAACATGGTTTGCTCATAGTAGGATGATGTGTATTATCTGAGTAAACAAAAGCACAAGTATGAGTGCCCTTTCATGGCAATAAATTCGAACTCTGACATCACAAAAAGTTGCAAAGACGATAAAAAAACTTGTGTTTCTACAATCTCAAATTATTAATTCAGGGAAGTATTATTGGCATCCACCGTGGATGTGCTGGTTGATGCAGACTAATAGTTTTGAACAGACCGTAAAGTCAGAATGGCATAGTAAAGAATGAAACACCATGTGAAAATGAATAAAAACTATTGCCATTGATTCCTAAGCAGGTGACTGTCTAGGAACACCGGTTACTAATGGTGCTGGGCCTGTATGAAAGGATAAAAGGCATTGACACTGTGATGTGACAGGGCAAGAAGACATAAATTTCAAAGAGAATTACTCTAGGTCTCAATGCCCAAGAAGGGCTTAGAGACCTGTTGCAAATGGTGCATTAATGTTATAGTTAACACAGTTTATAGGTCAGTCTGGGTTAGCACATAAATTTAGCACATTAGTTTCATCCAGTGTAAAGAATTTATATCACTTTAGAAGAATATCCTAACAGATTGGAGACTCATGTTAAAATTTTAATCTATCACCTGAGAGCTACCTACAAAAGATTTGCGAAATCTCTGAATCATGCGAGATAAAACAAACTGACTATATGTCTTTTATAGTTGCCAAAACCAAATTTAGATTGACCGTATTTTGAGTCAAATGTCAATTCCATATCAATCTGTGGTCCTTTGGGTCAAAGCATTATTTTACCTCACATTTTTAACAATCTTCATAAGTGGAAAGTAATGGATAATGTCGGTGAATTTATCAGGTGTAGTAGTTTTGGGAGTTTCATGTTGTGTTTTTACTTACAGATACTTTCAGTATCTGTCTGTACATGGAGATCGTATGCGTTATGATGTAACTCTTGCTGGATTAGAAGCTCGCCAGTGCCAAGATTTACTTTCTCAAGCTCAGTATCATGTGGCAAGAGCCAGAAAGGTTGATGAAGAAGAGAAACAATTGAGGCGAAAACAAGAAGAGGAAAGGGAAGCTTTCCGCCTCAAACAGTTAGAAGAGCAGGTAAGTTCATTTAAAGAACATTATATAATTATTGTTTTTCCCAAGGCAAATTTGTATTTTATTATATTACATAAGAAGAATACAAGTTTTCCATGTTTTGAAATTATTTTGTGGATAATTGGGAAACAATAGTTTCTAATTTTTCCCCTTCCCTTTGCATTTTCTTTTTTCTTGCTCTAACTCTTTGTTTCATTGCTTGCTGAAGTGCCCCCAGTATGTTATTTCCATTGAACAAAATGAGTGAGAAATAAGAAAGATATCTGTAAAGATTGAATAAGAACAAACTTTCAATAGAGGTTTAGAAGTACAAGCTAGAAAGCAATAGAGAAAGGGGGGAAGCTAACAAATTCAGGCAATAGAGAAAGATGCAAGCACAAGATTCAGTATAAGTACTCCTCTTGAAGGGCTACTGATATCCACCTTGACCAGAGAAATATCTTATTTTGAATTGTGCAATAATGAATAATTTGGGTTTGCAGAAAAAATTGGAAGAGAAAAAACGCATAGAATTAGAAGAAATGCTTAAGAAACGACAGGAATACAGAGAGAAGACTAAGAATGCAATTCTCTTCGGTGACATGCCAAGTGAGAAATCAAGTAAAAAAGGTAAAAAGAAGTCTGAGGCAATGGTATCAGACTCTGGCAGTGAAGCAGAAGGAAATGCAAGTGGTGGCGAACAGCGTGAAAAAGGAAAGAAACGCCGAAGAAGGTACCAATGTTATTTCGTGTCACATTGCTTTTTGCCCTTTGTGTGATAGCTGCTAAGATTTTTAATTGCTTGAATTTGAACAGCACGGATGGAGAAAAGAAGAAACGAAAAGGTGGTGCTGGCAGGAAACGCCATGAAAAGAAGGAGAGACATGAAGGACCTAAAGCGAAAAGAGGCCGAAAACCTACAAAGGTATTTCTTTACTTTATTTTCCTTTGCAGTAACTTAAAATGCAGATCTTTCGGAACATTTCTTATCCTCCTTTCTGTAACTGCTTAACAATGTTATGCTGGTTTTATTGCTTGAAACATGTAAGCTATTAAATATAGGTAATTAATAAATTATCTAAATTTATAATAATTGTTCACTTGTGCATTAACAACAGATACAAAATTATTAGAGCAACATAAATGGTAAAAAATTGTTTCACAATACAGGAACCGAAGCGACGTGGAAAGAAAGCAGGGAGCGGTGATGATGATCAAACTCCGAAGAAGAGGGGCAAATTTGTATCCAAAGAAACCATTTCCACTAGTGAATCAGATAGTGACAGCAATCAACTTAAAATTGCTAGTGGGTAAGTAAATTTTCTATTCCTTGTTCAGTAAATATTTCAGCACCTATCACTTGATGCAGTTTTTCACATCATTCAGAATACAAGAGCTGCAAAACATGGCTCATTATGAGATGCACACTTTATTTACTAGGAGCCTTTTTATTGTTTTTGTTTTCTAGAATTATTTAGCAACTAGCTAAAGTACCCTGTGTTGCTAGGGTATTGATCATAATATTTTTTTTATTAAACAGAAATAGGAATTCCATCTATTACCGCCCTATGGTGGAACCTACTTCTATCTATTTGACTGTAATTCCCCTCCACCTTACCTTACCTTACCTTACCTTGCCTTGCTCCAATCTGGAAACACCAGGGATTCCAAACTCACTAAAACACTTTCTCACTAAAAAATATTTAAATTTTATTCCTATTGTGGTTCCCACCCCCAAACTTCTTTCACTTTTTAACTGAATATAATAAACAAATCTAAACTAAAAAACGTGTGTGTGAAATTGTGTATCTTTACCTATACTTTCAATCAATGGCCACATTATAAAACTTACTCTTTTTCATATTTTTTCTTCTCTGGTATTTATAAAGAAAAGTTTGAAATTGATCTCACTGCATCAATCGACATTTAAAAATAATTAAAGTAATTTTAATTGAATTCGAGTACATACGTGTTTTAGGATCCATCATAAATAGTGGGTGACAGAAAAGACCCATTAACCACTTAGACAATTATAATACCTCCTCAAATTCGATATCCCAGCGGATCCCAGCTAGAGAAAACTTTTTCTGTAATCTAAAATAACAACATAACATAAAACCAGCATTTTCACACATCCAATTCCTCCAAATACCCATTTATCAACAATGTTTTACTTTAATTATACTGCCCTTGTTCTATAAATTATATTCATGTCACACTTTCAATTTAATCTTTCCTTCAACACCGAAAGGTACGCTTTCATTCTCCATTATATTAAAACAATTCTCTACAAAAATGTATCCATCCGTCAGTTTCAGCATAACATGTACATCCCAAACTAGCAAATACATAATAATCATTAATTTTCAACACTAAGTATGTGTGCATACATACTTTTTTACAATATTAACCACATTCGTCAGAAAATGATCTCTTCCAAACATTTCGCCTTTTGTACAATTTGTGCGTACGTGGAATTCAAACATACGTGCACTCATGCGTATTGGAATTCAAATCAATATCCAAGTTACTTTTATAAATAGTGGAGAAAAACCCAGAATTATTTCGGATTAGACAATTGACACTTGAAATAAACAGTCCTCTAAATACACAATATTCTGATTGATGAAATCAGTAGTAGATCTTAGACGTTGTGCTCTGGGGGGCGTGCAGTTAAATTATTGACATGATGCACTCTACAATCTGTGATGTAAAGCCAGGTGAAAAAATGTCTAGAAAAGTAATAATTTTTTAAATATATTAAGTTTTATGGTAAAACATCATTGCCTATAGTACTTCAGACTTTTAAAGGAAGCTAACACAAACGTTTTATGGGTATTGGTTCAGTAGATTCAGAAATGATCACACTGTAAGTCAACGCACTTCTGTCTTCATATATTAATGTAGATTTCAATATGCATTAATCAACAAGATCCAGTTTCTGCAGTGGTACTAATTTTATTTGTGAATTCAGTAATTTCCTATTTATCTTTCATTTGCTAATTTTTCCTTTTGTACCTCGGTTCATAATACTGAAAAATTAGCATACAACACAGAAAACCTTTGGAACAGCTTTTTTAAAATTAGTTCAATTATTGCATGGGTAAATGCTTCTTACATTGATGTAAGTGTGAATATTTGTATGAATAACATTATACACGAAGTGCATAAAGCCTTTCTTCCACATCACAAATACAAATTGAAAACTAAGCTCGGTTAATTTTGGAATAATGTTTAAAGTTGAGGCTTGGAGCAACCTTCGTATTAGTAACATCACTCAGCCTTGACAGTATGCTTGTTTACTTCAGTTGGAAACTGCGGATTTTTTATCATAACAAAGTTCAATTTAATTAATTATCTAAAGAAACATCAAAACAAAACAGGAAAGTTTACAAAATCTAGAAAATTGGCTGGTTAGTTTATGCTGGTATTATTGTCGAAGGTGTTGTTCTTGGGTTATTTAAAAGAGCTGATACAGAACAAGAGATGTGTGTGTATGTGCTTGAGAATATAGGTTAGTGCTATATTTAGTACTTCAGAAAGGAAGTTTCGGAATAAGATGTGCAAAACTGCCCCCAGGGATAAAATTTTTTTATGTTGAAAATCGTTATTGAAATTTAAATAAAACAAGTTTTTTGCCCAATTTAAATCAATATTCCCGGAGTACTTTGTACAAATGAAAAAAAACGTGTTTTTTTAGTTTCTTTCATAACTTTTAATTCTTTTAACCTCACCAATGAATATTGACTTCAATTGTTCTTGTGGTTTCCTATAAAGATGAAGGTGTTTTGAAAATTTTTATATGTGTTTATGTCTGATTTTGACCCTTACAATCAACAAAAAAGAGGGGAAAATGGAAAAAAGTAACTTTATTCTTTCGTTTTTTTAAAGAACATCTCGTGTTCTGACACAGATAATAAAAAGGGCTAAATACAAATCGTAGCCTTATTCTCTTCAGTTTTCCAATCATTTTAACCTTTTATCTAATAATTCGCACCCAACAAATATCAATAAAACTGTAATTTACTATTTTAATTATTTTCTTAAAATTAGGTTTTGTTTTATTAATTTTCGTAGTATTTCTGTATTATGTTTATTAGAAAAGATAAATAATGAAAAACGAAGTTGTAGAATATTATAACCTATTGTAATTTGAATATTGAACAAATTAAGATTTTAACTAAAAATAGAGTTTTTATACTTTGTCCACATTGCCATAATGCTGTGTTGTATCATAATGCATTTTGTGGATTGCATGTGTGCCTGATAATCCATATATACCATAATTTGCAAACTTCAATTTTTTTGTTCTTAAATCTCTTTGAATTATCCTTGGGGGGTAATTCCCAATCCACCAGTAATATACTTACATTGTTATGTCATTTTTTCTTATAAAAGGGTATAATCTCTCATCTTTTCAAGGGTATTATGTATATAATGGGGAATATATATTGAGGATGGTAATCTCAATCATAACTTCTTTTCTGTTTTTGCAGAAATGAAAGTGGCAGTGGCAGCGAACGTGGCAGGCAAAAGAAACGTCGCATTGCTTCAGATTCCAGTCGTTCACGCTCCCGATCTGCTTCTGGCAGTGCTAAATCCAGATCCAGATCACGTTCAGGCAGTGGATCTCGCTCTCGCTCTAGATCTAGATCAGGTTCAAGATCTAAGAGCAGATCGAAATCTCGTTCTGCATCAAGATCTCGTTCTAGATCAAAAAGTGGATCACGATCCAGGTCTAGAAGTGGATCGCGATCAAACAGGAGCAGGTCTGCATCAAAATCTAGATCAAGATCGAGATCTAAATCAAAGTCCAGGTCTAGGTCCAGATCAAGATCAAAATCGAAGTCAAGGTCAAGATCCAGATCAGCATCAAGATCAAAGTCGAGGTCTAGATCAAGATCAAAAAGTGGCTCTAGAAAGAGTGGCTCTGCTTCAAGGTATGCTTAATTATTTATGATATAGTAAAACTTCATTTATGTTTTTCAAAGAAGTGAAGAGGAAAATTTATAGGTGAGAAAAATGCGTATGTGAAAATGGAAAAAATATTAGTGCAAAATAAAAACTCAATATTTTGACAATACTATAGTGTTAGAAAATAATACTCATAGAATATTCTCATTTCATTACATTTTCAAAGAAGAAAATTCTCAGTTTTGAAAAGGTTCTGATGTTTGACCATCTGCTTTTCTCTGCCCGTAAAGCATAAATTTCCCCCTCAAAAAGTGACTGTTGCTCCATAATCGCCCACATAACTTGAATCCCACATATTTTGTACAAATAGCCCTGATAGTTTACTATAGAAAGTTGACAAACTTTTGTGAAGCTATACCGAGTGGCATGTGAACGTTATGCAAAGCTGTACCGGGCGGCACGTAGACATTTCACAATGCCATACTATGTGACATGCAAACATTATCCAAAGCCTCTAGTGGGCACTAGCATCATTATCCTTGCACCCTGTGGTTTTGTTCTGTATCTACAGTTCCTATCTGATTCCAAGGGAAGGTAGACAAGCCTTGTCTACCTCCACAAAACTAAACAACCTGAACACTGAACCGAACACAGATTCCTTCATCATTCATCATGTGGACGTAATGTTTCTCACTTTCCAGTCGTCTATGTCAATATATAGTCAGGACTTCTATTTTGTCATATAAGCGTGAAAAAGAAAGAAATGTAAAATCCACATCTGTAATAATTTAACATGGCAAGTATAAGAATTTAGCTGGAACTTACAAGTAACAACTCATAAACTTGAAAAACATTTTGGGGCAAAACATATAAATGGAGTTTTACTATATTGTTCTTCCTTGATTGTGCTCTTTAGCCAATACTCCGTTTTTGGTTGCTCTTTCTTACTCATTGCTTATTCAAGTGGCAGCACTTAGCCAATTTTTTGCCCAATCTTCAAATCTGACTTCATTTTGCTTTAAGGCATGGCGGGTGCCAATTCCATTTCACCTCAAAATATATTCTGTCCTGCCTCTCTTGCAACTTTTAGTTCTAGTTGCAGTAAATACACTGAGAATTATTGTAATAAAATGCTTAAATTGCAGAAGTTGAACTTTCTTATTTTATTATTGCAGTTTTTAAAGTTTTCTTCAGTGTTCTTCCATTTGTTTTCTTTATTTTTATTACAAAACATTATAATATTGTATTTATTAATTTTATGTATTTAATTAACTTAACAAAGCAGTAAAACCTGAATATGATGTAAACAGTACTAACTCTGTTATGAATAATTTTGCCATTTGCCATCTTGTGCTTTGCACTGCCGCTACATCTGTATTATATATTTTTTGGACATTAAGATATTTCATAGGGTGAGACTGAAAATTCTTCCATATTGTGAATTCATATAAATCATTAACATTACCTTTTTCTTTTTCTGTTTGATGATTTATCTCAGTTTAGTTCTTTTGATGATGTATTGTCCCATGCGCAACTAGAACTGAAGAACTAGGTTTAATATTCAGGCTATCTTCACTTACTGCAACTCAAGATGCCTTCCCTTCTATCTTGAAATTCTGTCTGGTTTTATACAGGAATGCTTCTCATTTCTTTTTATAAGCTTTGATCTGATTTACACTCTTACATTTGATGAATGATTCTGGAGATTTAGCAAACATTTATATGTGCAGTGTGGCTTTTGTAACCCATAAATTTATATTGTGCATATGCACACGCACATTCGCTAAAACTTTCATTCATCATCATGATTCATTCATCAGAATGAAAAGTGTACTGGGTCTTACTTCTTACAAGCAAGGTAACGCCCAAGAACCACTATAAGGCAAGAAAATAAACTACTCTTGTGCTCATTTGTTGTGTGGAAATCCCAAATTGCAGTGTGGCATTTTGAGGTAGTAGGGGCTACTCTTGCCTAATCCACAATTTAAAGCGCTGATCACCAAATTCATTTAAAACAAAATTGTATAGTAACTTTCATTTATGTAGTTGTGAATATCAATGAATACCATCTTTTCTTCTTCTTTCTTTTTCTTTTTCTTTTTTTGTTTTGTTTTTTGTATCCAGACTTAGAGGTCATGAAATAAACTTATATTTATTAATATAGCTCACTATTGTTTGTTGTGTTTTATATTGTGTATTTAGAAATAATTTTATTGTAAACAGTGTAATTAATTTCTAACAAGAGCATAAAATGATTAAGAGTTTCATTATGTGTTGTAGGTCTAGATCTCGTTCCCGTAGTGGCTCCCCTGCAAAATCAGGATCAGCATCTCCAAATCGGTCAAGGTATGATATATTAACAGTGTATGTGTGTAATTTGGAGGGTTGTATTTGTCTTTGTCTGATTGATTTTTTAAAAAAATATATTTATTCATATAAAAGTAAAGGCAATAACCCAATTACGAAGTATAAGACATGTAATAGGTTTGTTGAGGGATGTTTGATGAATAAAGGGATGCAGTTGAATAAATATATATAGCTCGTTCATAGAGAGTACCACACTCTATGGGGCAGAAGTCTGGACACTATCAAAAAAATTGAAAGACAAATTTCAATCAACAGAAATGATGTTCTGGCGAAGATGTTGTACACTTTCTCTGTTAGATAAAATAAGAAATGATGAAATAAGAAATAAAATGAAAGTGCAAACAACCTCAAACGATACAATCGAAATGAGACAACTATAATGGTACGGACATATGAGAAGGTTGAAATCGGATAGACTTCCCAAAAAAGTTTGGAGTGGATACCAAATCGAAGAAGATACAGGGGAAGGACCGAGAAGAACATGGAATATGGCAATAACTGAAGCCATGGAAAAAAAGAGAAATGAAGAAAACGAATGTATTGAGGATAAAGAGGCATGGAAATTGGGATGCGGAAAACGGCCAAGGCTGTAAAAAACCACTAAATAGATAGATAGATAGATGAATAAATTTTTGGCTGTATAAAACCTATGATAAGTGTCAAAGTAATTCGATTTTTTGTGAATATTCCAAACATTTTGGGTATATTAAGTTTTGTGAATTATAATTTTTTCTGTGCTTATTGCAATTGTTTTTCTTGCATTTATACTTATTACTTTAATTTTAGATCTGCAAGTCGAAGTCGTAGTCGTAGTCGCAGTCGATCTCGTTCAAGTAGTAGGTGAGTGCTTCATTTAGACAATAATGGCTATAAAAATACATTGTTATTATTTCAAGTATTCTCGTATATTTTTGTTAATATATTTTAACTCTGTTGTTTCATTTAAACACAAGTCAGTAAGTAAGGCAAGAATAAGAGAATGTAGTAATAATAATGTGTATTTTAAATGTACTTATGTTAAGAGAAAAATTAAGTTTTCTTGAGTGAAAAAATTCATGATACTTTTCATACTTTACAGTTAACTTGTAAGTGGAATCAAATACAAACTAAACATGTAAAACCAAAATCATTTTGCAGATCTGGTTCTCCTGTATCTCGAAAATCCGTATCTGGTAGTGAGGCAGGTTCTCGCCATTCCAGCCCAGCCCGTAGTCAAGGTTCAGGTAAGATTTTATAATTATCTTTATCACCTTGTATGACAGATGACGATGACGATTATTATTATTATTATTATTATTATTATTTTTATTATTATTATTATTATTATTATTATTAAATCAAATTCTATATAATTGTTATATTCCAGTAATTACAATGAATATGAATTACTGTAGTTATGTTAATTACTAATCTGGCAATCTGATACCTGGGCTAAAAAGTCAGAAGACGACGCAGTGTTGGGAAAGGGCCACAAAGAATGAAGCAATGTTGCATGTGAAGATAAAGATGGTATTGACAAAAAGCATGATTGAGATGATTTTAAGAAAACAAAAATAGTTATACCTCAGGCAATACAAAGTTTTAACATTTCCAAGACAATTTTGCAGTCCATTAAACAATTTGCAATTTAATTTTGACCAAATAGTAAGAATCAGTAACAATTATTTTTTTTAAATTTAAGGAGGCTTCTTCAAAATTAATCTATTATTCAGAATCTACTTATATTTGAGTAAATACAGAATTTAATTTCCATGAAAATTTGAAGTAAATGCTGTACGCAATTAATTAATTTGCTAGATGTTTAAAATCCATGACAACAAATGAATCAAAGCTTTCTAGTTGAACCTGTGCAAAAACTCTGCTCTTTGTATATAATTGTTTTAAAAGTGAAAATTGTGCCATAGGAGAACTCAACTTCAAACGACCAGCCTTTGTATTTTGTGTTACAGCATTATGGGTCTGGTACTGTGTTAGAATAACCATTCGAATATTATGAGTAGTTGGAAGGCCTTTGGGATAATTCACATTACTGTGTAACCAAATTTGACGTGCTTCTCTTGATACATCTTATTTGTGTGACTTTTCATAAAACTGAGTATTTTACCTCTTGCGGTGCTCTCAATGGTCATCAAGAAAATTTTTCAAATGTCTGTAGAAAACCAACAAATACAAGACCCCACAAACAATAGCTTAGTTTTAAAGTGTATATTGATTTAACATGTTTTATTTCTAATAAAATTACATTGTATTGAGTTATTTTGATGATTAACTAATTCAGCCATGTCTTGTTTCATGTTTTTCAGGTGGTGCAAAGAATTCTGGTAGTGATAGTGAATAAATGTGCCCTCTGTAATTTCTTCAGTCGAACAGCAGTATAAGTTACTTTGGAGCACTTATGATCATGTGATCATATCATTGGTGTACCTGTATAGTAGTTCTTTTATATATTGTATAAAGAATGTGAGTTGTAAGATTTTCGAATGTATTCAGTGTTAATGTGATGATAGCTTGTTCAACTGATTGAAGCTTTGTCCATTATTATTTGCTCCTGTTTGAATCCTAAATACTTTGATTTTATTTTTTTCCCTAGCTTCATTAATCTTCCAATTTATAGGTACATTTAGATAAGGAATATTTTTAGTACCAATATTTGAACTGTATTAAATGGACTTGCATTAAAACAGCCAAGTTTTTAATAAATTGGCTATGTTTTTATTTTATTGCTTTACTCAACATTCATAAGTATATGAAACTACCCTTTAGGTGAGATTTCAGTGGCGCAACCCGCTACCCCGTGGGATGGATTGTGGGGGGACTTATGGGGTCTTCAGCCCCTCTCCACACCCTTCACGCACGCACGCTCACTCACACACTCCACTCGCTCGCTTGCTCGCTCGCTCACTCTCTTTCTCTCTCTCTCTCACACACACAGACAATCTAGCAATGCATATCAAAAATTTAACCCTTTATTAATTTTCTATACTATTGAAAGTTATTCAACTTATCAGACGTTTACTTTATAAATATTAACTATAACTCAACAAATAAAATACATTTTATATTCAGCAAAAAAACATGAAAACATTTTTTTATAAGAAAACTTCAAGCTCGCTGGGCAACTGCAGTCTATCCCAGAGAAAAATCCTGAGTGTGCCTTTGTGGCTAGTGAATAACAATTTGTTTAGATTATGTAACAATTGGTAGAGTAAATTTGGTAGAAACAAAATAGAAATGAAAAAGTACACTACAGTTTTCACTTACTCAGATCTTTTAACTATCTAGCCATACTATGTATGTACAAAGACAATTATAAATGTGTGACCAAAATGGCTGTTTTTTCAACAGAAAAACTTAATTTCAGGTCTTGGTAATGGAATATTGAGTAATCTTATTCCTACATGTAGCAAATTACTTCCTCTAACACATTATCTAGTCGGAATCCATGTTTCATGGTTCCTCGATTCCGAAAAATCAGTTGTCAGCAAAACTTCTCTCTGAGTGGGGTCAACACTAGTGCCTGAACTGTTTAAATTATTTTCTCCAAAATCAATATTCCTTGATCAATCTGAACAAACTCAAGGCCCTGAGAATTTGGAACAAATTTTGATTTTTCATTGTCCTTTACATGAAGCCTGAACAACATTTCTGTAATTTTCTCAAAAACGGCTCCAATTTTTTATTGAACTTGGACCTTAAGAACAGAAAGAACTTTTGTGTGTGAATTGATTTTTCTTAACTTGAACTAATTTCTAAAATACTACAACAGTTCAATTTTTTTGGCATTTTCCTACAATTACAGTTGTAGTGAAGAGAGATTGCAGATATTTTTTCTTATCAAAATTTGGTTGCTTGAAATAGTCTTGTACAATTTTAGAAAATATGTTTTAATTTTGCATGAAATATGAGCAATAAAAAAATTTAACAATTATTTTCTCAAAAACAATTCCAATTTTTTTCTTTTAATTTTCTCCTGTGTATTAAAAAACCATAAAAATGAGTGCTGTACCCATTGTCAGCAAACTCTGTATTTACAAATTGCAAAAACTTGCTGTTGCCATAGTTCAATTTTGAAGACTGATATTTTTGGCTCAAATGAAATTTGTTCTCAGAGAATAACCTTTCACAAAAGGTCATATACATTTAAAAAACAAGTTACTAGTTTTCACGCAATTTCTGCTTGAGGTTAATGCAATTTAAAAAACATTGTCTCAAAAAGGCTCCAATGTTTTTCTTTAAATTTTATCCTCGTATGTATCAAAAAAGTATCAAGAAAATGATGCTTGAATTATTTTCGAACGTTACGAAAGTACAATATCGATGACTGACATTTTGTTTGAGATGTCAACAACACGAACAACACTTCCGGTAGTCTGAGAAATAGAGCATAAACGTCAAGTTCTTGAGCGACATTCCCAAGTCGTTCAAGGCACATGCGGTCAAAATCGAAATTTATGTCATTGGCCTACCAATAGCACATTCAAGCACGCGAGACATCCAAACCCTGCATAGTATTAGTTTGTGTGATGTAACATCCAGAGGCGTATCATAAATGGGATGGCAGACATGACACGTGCCATAGGCGCCACTCACAAGGGGCGCTATTAATAGTGTACCCCTAAAACAAATAACAACCCTAACCTGAAGTAACCTGGCGGGCGCAAAATTCTATGCTTGCCGTGTGAAATGCATCCTCCCCTCGAACACTTTTAATTTTTTTTATTGTCTTCAGCTATTCTCTAATTTACTTAATATATAATAAAATATATGTTCAACTGCGATTTACCCCGCTCACTTCCCTTTTAATGTATACAATGTACCTTGTTTATTTACGCTATCATACCTAGGGGATGCGAGCAACAGAAAACTTCTTTTTGTGGCATGGCAGAACCGTCCACGCGGAATTGTGGTGACGAAATATTACCTAAGAAACCGCTTTTCTGTACATGATTCATTGGAATAACACCCTCTTCGAAATCAAAAACAAATTCGTTTTTTTGAAAAACATTTATAATTTTAGCTTTTTTTACCTGCCTTACAATTTGTTCTCACAGATATTTCTGATTCACAAAACAAAGACAAAAATACAATACAATATTGGAATATTGGAATACCCAAAAAGTACATAAACATTTTACCAATCAGCTCCTCGTATATACACCGTATTTACAACCAGATACTCCTTGATTTCTACGTTCTTCCGCCTACTTGAACAATGATTTTTTACTCGATCGTTTTTCTCCGGCCATTGGCGATGTCATCCCACGTGTCGTCGGGTCCTTTTCAGTTCGATTTTTGCGTCCATCAATTTTCCAAACAAATCAATATTAGTTGGGGTTTCTTGGGCAATGGCAGCCCATTCTTCACGGAGTGCTGTACTAAGGAGAGGTATCGATGTAGGTCGGCGAGGCCTGGCACAAAGTCGGCGTTCCAAAACATCCCAAAGGTGTTCTATAAGATTCAAGTCAGGATTGGTCTGTGCAGGCTAATCCATTACAGGGATTTTATTGTCGTGTAACCACTCCGCCACGGGCTGTGCAGTATGAACAAGTGCTCGATCGTGTTGAAAGCTGCAATCGCCATCCCCAAATTGCTCTTCAACAGTGGAAACCAAGAAGGTGTTTAAAACATCAACATTCCGTGATAGTACCACATAAAACAACAATGGATGCAAGCCTCCTTCTTGAAAAACATAACCGCTCCATAGCACCATTTTCAACGTGTCCGGACACTTTTGATCACATAGTGTACATGAATGAAGGCATCATAAATATGACTGTATCTTTGGAGAACAGAAGAAACGATTTGGAGTAATTTATATTCCCCTGCTAGCTCATCACGTGACTTCGCTGCTACGAGCCGCCATTAACAGACGTTTTACTGACAATCGATTTTTGAACATCAAGAACCCACAAGGCATAGATTCTTGACTACACAACTTGTTAGGGGAAGTAAGTAACTTACTACTTACAGGTAATAGATTTATCCACTTTTTCGTTTTCGAGTCTAAGAGATTTCTGTCGCAAAATCGCCGATTTCCGTCGCACGGTTACACCTCTATCTCTTTACTGCTTACATAGTAAGGCAAGAAAGTAAAAATGAAAAGTAAATGTAATCAATCTGATATTTCAGTATTTTATTAGAAAAATCAGATGTGTTACAATTTCTCATTCTTTCTCGCATAATTGGAAACAGTTATGTAATACTGAAATATTGCAATTTCTGCCATATTAACATTCCAGCTACAGCTTGAAAAGGACGAGTTCGCCGGGAATGAGACTTATGAGCACTTTCTTAGTTGAGGGGAAAAACACAAAAAAATCGGACAATTTTTAAGAATGTAATTGTTTAAATTGTTGCAAAATAGCCTCTTCAGGCAAAATTACCCCTGCTGCCTTATAAAATGAATCTTTTTAATTAATTCACTGTCCTTCTCAAGAGGGCTCGTGGCCTCGTAAATGTGCTATTAATGTGCACTATTAAATAGATTCATTTCATAAGGCAGGAGGTGTAACAATAACCTAATGTCATCGGCCACTATAGAGAAATCGAAGTATACTCACATTTTCGAAAAATGGAGAATTTATTGCTTTATTTGAAAATGTTTTTGACGAACAGATTTCATTAAGGAAAAAAATCTATCTTTATTATTGTAGTTATAGAAACACGGAAAAAATCGAACTTTTGTAATTTCTGGAAAATTTAAGGAGAGCAAAATGCGATATACACCACTTCTTTATGCATCTTTTGCTCTATCAGAGGAAATAACTTTAAACAATTGAAGTATTTTTTAAGAAAATTTTGATAATGTTAGTGTTTTATGAACAGTACTCCTCAAAATAAAAATATCCGTTTAAAATTCAAGTGGCGACATAGATCGATCGGGGAATATCGATTTTGGTAAAAATCCTTCTTACAATTTAGCCCCAGCGTTGTTCCTAGACAGATGGAGAGATGTTTTGCCGTCAATCGATTTTTCGGAATCAAGGACCTACCAAACATGGATTCTGACTACTCAACGTGTTAGAGGATGTATGATAGGATACTGGAACAAGCTTTATCCACTTTTTCGTTACTAGGGCCTGGCAATAATATTTTTTCTGTCGGAAATTCGCAGTTTTTTCCGCGTCATTGCACTAATTTCTCCATACTGCATAAGCAGAAGGTGAGAAATGAAAAAAATACTGAGCCTTTTCATTAAGTCATTAGTAGCCATATATATTTTTGCATTAGTTGTCGTGACTTCGTTGATCTGAACAATTGTTAAATGTCTTTTTATTTTGAAAAGTACGTTATTATTCGATGAAATTTGAAGAATATAACTGAATATCCCACCAAGAATGTAACTGAACTGAAATTTGCTTTTTGTTGTGTTTCAACATCTTTTTCTTTATCTTTATCGACTTTGCTCACCAGTCACACTGCAAACAGAAAATGTAGGAAGGTTTTGTCCATATCTGATACGGGAAAAGGAAATACACTCTGCTGGGAAGCACTGTTTATCAGAATGTTGCTTTTGCGTACTATGAATCTTTTGAACGTTGCCGCGAAAGTGAACAATAAAATGTTTTCTTTCTTCTTATTGAAGATCATTTACTGTGTCAATAAATTTGTTTCTTTCACTTCTATTCTAGCATTCGCATATATTTTGCCTTGTTTTGAATCAAAATGAAGCAATTTCTATGTTTTATTCCGGTGCCGTACAAAATCATAGGTACTCATATATTTTTACTTTTTCTGAATAGGGTTGTGTGAAGTTGTATAGTTTAAAAATAA